ACCTGTGAGCCGCCTGTCTAGAAACTGTGGGAGCCTCGACGACTCACAACCTTGTGGACCTTCACGGCCTGTTAAAGGAACAGCTTGGCGCGGAAGCCGGACAACCTCACCGTCATCTGTGAGCCGACTGTCTAGAAAATTGGGAACCTTGTCGTACGATTGTTTTGCCGTACGACCTCCTTTTCACACTAGAGCGACTTTCGCAATTTCGCAACAATACAACGATAAGAACTAATGCAATAACGCGAAACAGACGACCCAGGGTTCGTACGGATGAAGTCGCGTAATGTGAATCACAGAACTGGATTGCATCACCCACTGAGCCTGCGACAGTCGGACGGTTGTCGCAGTCCGTATGTTTTGGTCCAACTACTCTCCGACTGTGGTACGGTAGATGTCGCATGTCGTCACGTATGAAAGCTAAGACTACACTTTATATTCTACTACTTGATGCGACATGAACCGTACGGACGTCGTACGACCGATGTCGCTGTGTGTGTACGTGCCCTAAGGCGGCACTTCTGGAATTAATTCGTTTGAAGACCCAAATTATTTCTTTAGCATATCTCGCCAAATAATCACTTACGAAAGAAATACCATGAGTTGATGCAATAATAATAATAATAATAATAATAATAATAATCACATGGAATGCGATATGCAACATTTGTATAAAACTCGCTAATTTCGATAAAAATTAAAACAATGCATTAGCAAAACCCATTAATGTGTTTACAAACTCTTTTTTTCATTGGCACTACAGCCCCAGTGGGCCTAGGCCTACCTCCATGAACTGTTTACAAACTTACCATCCGCTATCCACGAAAACCGTACAGAAAAAAAGCCCTACTAAACATCAACAACCTTCATATATACCATAAACACTCAACGTCAAAACAAGACCCCGTACTCGCAGACACAATCAACAGAACAATTCCGGAATCAAGGAAGTTCTAGAAACAAAAATATCAATTACAGAACTACAAATATTTCAAATCATTTTAACCAAATTAATTATCAATTTAGATCGAACTTAAAACAAATGCTCTCGGACTATTAGCCGTATAAAGTCGTTAAATATTAGCGACGTTTCGGGAGAACCCTCTATCCCCAATAGGGACAGAGATTATCCCTAAACTGCCCCCATCATCAGATTATGGGGATAGAGCTTGACCCCGAAACGTCGGTAATTTTTAACTAACTGACACGGCTGATATACCGAGAAGATTTTATCAATTTTAGCCGCATGAAGCTCCAGATCTTACACAACTTTAACCAAGATTTAACAACGTTTTGGAACAATGAACTAAAAGCAAAACAACGAAGCAAATACGCGCATAATTTACCTGATGATGATCTTATACGTAAGTCCGAAACATATTGTAGAAGAAGCAGAAAACATAAGAGGTTTAAACTTGGCGGTGGTCAAGTTTACGGCCGTTCAAGTGACCAAGCTGCCGTTGTAACATGAGATACGTAATATAGGCATGATCTGCTTTCCAAAGCCTGGGCTGACAGAGGATTTGTACAATATATAAAGCAATAGCAAGAATTTTCAATAACATGCTACATGTGCTATACGTACATTTGATAAAGGCGAAGCGAAGCCAATTCACAAGAAACAAACCTATCCTCTAGTCAAAGAGGATGTTACCTAAGGACTATGGCTTTAACGGTTCAGTTGCAAAAAAATATCTCTGGTCATGAACCTCGAGGGGTTGGCGGTAAACCGCCAGTGGTGAAGTAACTATGACTTTCGCTTTGACTAGAAGAAGCAGCAGCTATAATACGTGACAACGCAGATCATAACTGGTCTACGAACACAAGAACTTACACCTCCAAAAGTGCCCCTGTGAATTAGTTGATTAAAATTTTATCTTTAATAATGATCCCCTTGAAGCATTCAGAATAGAAGAATAAGTTTTTCCATTGATATTATTAATATCTGGTATATTCCCCCTTTCTTTAATTCTTATATATTTTCAAATATCCAGGAGAGACCTAAGTCTGGCTTCCCCCTCTTCCCAGCAATCATGTCTCCATAAAAATTACACCACTAAAATTGAGATGATCACTTGGTATACAGCTGAACTTATTAGAAGATTGTTTGAAGAAAATGTCACACCGATATAAAAAACACATTACAAAACAAAAGTTAATTTGCTGGTGCATCAACTAAATTATTGTCTAATGCGTTCTGTCATTTTAATTTATATTACAAATTGGATTCAATCGACCATACAAATTCGTATCAAATAACCAAACATGACGCGCAAGTGGCAAGGTTTCTCATTTGTATTTCGATTGTACCAGTAAGATTCTTCGCCAGGACACAGACTATCCTAAGAATTTCGCAGTTTTCTTCAGTCCTAGAAGCAAATACCGAAAATGCCTTAAATTATATCACGGCCTCTTCCGTCCACATCCAAGTCAATTTACGGCTTTCAAACAGTGAACAACTGCGTGAATACGGGCATGTAAGGTCAAAGCATGTGGAAATTGATGAGATTTTAATGTTATTTTAAATTAAAGAGAAATCATAAACAGTTTTAATTTCCATTAAAGACGGAGGTGAATGAATGTGTGATCACTTTCATCCAATCGTTATCTGAGTTACTAACTCCGTGGCCTGTAGTCCGCAAGCGAACTATACTGACCGAGTGACCGCCGCTTGTGGGCGAAGTTAGTGCCAACTTTTGTGGATTGAGGGTGTCACGTGGTCAGCTCAACGGATCCCCACGGACGTTAATCTCGGTTTTCTATATCGGAACCGCTATTTCCTTGAAATACCATATTTACGCATGTATAGGCCGCAGCACAATTTTCAGACAGAAATTATAGAAAAAATAATTTTCTTGGAATATTATTTCAG